CTGATTTTACCATGCAATTCATCTCTTGATTTCCTGGCTGCTGGTACAATGAGTGTTGATTGTGGACCCAAGCAAATTATTACTGTTAAAAATCTCAGTCTCTTCACCATCTACCATAATGCTGCCAACCAGCCCAGTGGTGAGAATCTTTGTTTACTCTAATAAACATAACAGCCTCTTTTCGTGCAAGCTTACTGTTGTTTCCACTGGACTGCTTCCTTCCTATTCCTGTTGGTGTTGTTGTTAGAGTATGACTCATTGCGACACTATGCATGAAAGGTCTGAAACCAGTCCTGTCCTGCACCATCCTCACACTTCCTGACATACAAGAGTCCACTGCAGCAGTCACCTTGTCAATCCACCTGGCTGAGGGTCTTCCTCTCCTTTGCCGACCCTCCACTCTTTCCAATATGTCCAAAGTATGTTAGGCGAAGTCTCATTATTCTTGTCTCCAAAGAGCACTCTGGCTGCACCCTCTCCAAGACATATTAGTTTTCTTGGACGTCCAAGACATATTAGTTTTCTTGGCTGTCCATGGAATGTTCAGTGTTCTTCTCCAACACCACAGCTCAAAGGCATTAATTCTTTTCTGTCATCCTTATTCATTGTCCAGGTTTTGGATGCATAGCTTGTAATTGGAAAGACCATGGCCTGAATCAGATGCACCTTAGTCCTCAAACTGACATCACTACTCCCCAATAATTTGGAAAGGTCCCTAACTGCATGTTTTCCCATTGCAATGTGTCTCCTTATTTTCTGACTGACATACCAAGGGTGTTAATTGTGCATCCAAGAAAGCTGATGCTGTTGAGAGTTTCAATCTCCTCTCCAAACTCTACTGAAAATCTCTATTCCTAGAAGCCCTCAAATTCCTTATTCTCACCTGAGTGCAGCAACTTCGAATTTCTAGTATTCTATCAACACATCATATTATTTGCTGTTTGTTGTTGTTGTTAAGTGCTGTCGAGTCGTAGATGATTCATAGTGACCCTATGAATGAAAGACCTGGACATTTGTATAACTCATTGTTTCTCCAGGTTCATAGGGTTCTGGAGGCAAGCTATTTCGGAAGTGGATGCCACTCCTGCTTCCAAAGCTTGTTTTAACTGGGGAGTTCCACCAAAGACTGTCCACCAAGGGTAACCATTATCGCATTTGACACATCAGTGTCACAGTGTTTAGCATCACAGCAACCACGAGTTACCTCTGTAGAGCAAATGGGCAGATGAGTGCTATACCACTTAAAGAATGTTTGACCAAAAACAATTACAATCAGGCCTGAGGGCCATAGACTAATCACCCACCTGTGGCTTGGAGCCCAACTTTCTATCCACTAGGCCAATGGAGCTCTATGTTGTTGCTGTTTTTATGTGCCGTTGAGCTGTAGACAACTCATAGCGACCCTATGAACAAAAGACCTGAAATATATGTGTTGACTGTTTATGAAGTACATAGCTATTTTTGGCAATTTGCTGTCTTTAAATATTTATCATGAAAAAATAAATAACTTTCCTCCTCTATATGACATTGTATAGTTCTTCTATGAGAAAAAAATACAGAAAATGACAAACTAGAATGCAGTTCTTTAAGTAAACTTGAAGTGTTTTATTCAAAGAACAAATGTAAATTTTTATAAAACAAATCTGTGTCATTTGTGAATAAATAAGAAGTGTTGAGTGTAAGCAAACTGCAGGTACAGTCTTCCACTAACATTGGTTTTACCCTTTTCAAATAATTTTTTTAAAAGAGTATGTGAACACATTGCCTGCAGAACATAAAATACCATCAAGGTCTATATAGAAAATTTGCCAGACTTTTAGGTCATTCTTCACATTAATATAATTTTTTTTAAAAAAATGTATCCTCCAGAATTGTTAACTCTATATTTATCATAAGTGGTAATTAAGTTACTCACAATAAAGCTGATTACTTGGCCACTTACATACTATACTATTTGCTCATGGAAAAAAAAATAATCAATCAAGACCCATACATTCTTTAGATATGCTGAATGAACTAGATTAAAACCTACAAAGGCATAATGGATGTGACATAATGTTGTTGTTAGGTGCTGCCGAATATGACCCATAGAGATCCTATGAACAGATCTGAACCCTGTCCTAGCCTGTGCCATCCTCATGCTTCCTGACACATTGGAGCCCCTTGTGGCAGTCACCATGTCAATCAACCTGGTTGAGGGTCTTCCTCTCCTTTCTCAACTCTCTACCTTTCTGAGCATAATATTCCTTTCCAAGGAATAGCCTCTCCTAACAATATGCCCAAAGTATATGAGGTAAAACTTCATCATTCTTGCCCCCAAAGAGCACCCTGTCTGCACCTTTTCCAAGACATACTTGTTTGTTCTTTTGGTAAGGAATTTCATTGCTATGGTACCAACACAATCGTATGTGGTTCAAATCCACCAGCTGCTCCACAGGAAAAAGCTGGACAATCACACCCCCCCCCTTTGACTGAATGCTTCTGAAAGTCACAGGAGGGTCAGCTATGGGTTGAGTCCCACTGGATGGTACGCAACAACAGTGGTGAAATAGTTACACATGGCTGCTAGCTCAAAGGACGATTCTTCAAAGAAGATGTGGTCATCTGCTCCCATAAAGACTGAAGCTTATAAAACCGTATGGGGCAATTCTGCTTTGCCACATGGATTGCTTGAGTCAAATAGATTCTACAAAATCTAACAATAGTAATCTTAATATTAGGAATCTGTTTGCAACCAGTTGTCACCCTAAAAGAGGGAGTTTGAACCCACTGTCTCTGTGAAAACAAAATGGCCTGGTAATCGACGTCTATCAAGGCTGTAGTTAAGAAAATCATTTGACATAGAGCCACCATAAGTCAGGCGCTTAACATTTGACATTTTATCTGAATTTCCAAATATTTGTCTGCCTTATCTGTAAATGCCTCCTTTACATATTATACTTAGTATGTTCCAAATAAATTCATCTTTCCTACTTAGGCACCTTATTTGAGCTTTCTGGATTGCATACACTTTAGAAATTAAGTCACTTTATTCTTACAATGCATTACTGGCTAAGGGGTAGAATTTTCACCCTCTGTGGGGGAAGACTTGGCTTTGATTCTTGGTCAGTCCACATCACACAACAACCACTGTCTGTCAATAGTCCCTGGAAGCTTAAGGGTTATGCTTAACAAGCTTCAAGAAAGCTTCCAGAGTGATCACCAAGGAAGATGTGATCTATTTTCAAAAATTGGCCAGAGAAAACCCTACAGATCAGCAATTGATTGTGGGGATGGTAGAGGAACTGGCAGCACCTTGATCAGTTGTGTAGAAGCCTGCCTGGAAAGCAATTAACAACAAGCTTTTCATTTCCTTATCAAAGACCATGAAGTGTTTAAGTCTGAATTTATCTTCTTCTCAGCAGAAGGATTATTCAGTGAAGTTTAAGAACATAAACGAGGCTAATCTTAGGAGTATAAGGATTTATTTTCACTGCAGTAAAACTAATTCAGCATCAAGATATACACATGCATGTTTACATGCATACAATGTTACTTACCATAAAGTCTTGTACTGAATCTGACATAACTCGTTACATAACTTTTGTCTAATAAAAATCTTCTGATTTGTTTACCTCTTTCTCTGATCTTTCCTGGCATGTACAGATTGCAACTAAGAAAATCCACGGAGCTGCTCTACTCAGTAACAATGTGTGCCACCTTGAGTCTCTATTGACTCCATGGCAACAGGCCGACTTAAGCCTATTTAATGAGCTTCAGTGCTTACAATTAATTCTTACACCTAATTGTGTACCTACTTTTAATTTACGTTCTCTTAGCTGCAATGCTTGGGTGGTACACTTTTAGAACCCTGTTATCTGTGATGTTTTCTCATTGCCATAAATAACTTGGCAGGTACATGCTTTCTGGTGAAAAGCAGTTTTCCCTTACACTCCGTTAGCTTCTGACATTTAATATTGCTAGGGTGGAAATCCAAGACCAGACTGATTTCTGCTCCTTTATAGGTTAACCACATTTTCTCTGTATACACGTATTCTTGGGGTATTTTTTTCCTTGATTAAAAAAAAAAACAACCAGGATCTAAGTGTTGTTTTCATTAAATTTAAATATGCTTTTTTCCATTTGCAGACCTAGTTATTTCTTCATGTCTAGAAAAATTTCTCCAATTAGTTCCTTACTTAATGCTACAGTTCCTTTTGTCCTGTTTCAGGTAATCCCACGATGTGCGGGTCGATCCCACTTGCTCATGTTTTCAGGCTCCTTCATAATTTTAATTTCAAGGATCTTATTAGTTACTTCATCTTTTGACTTCGACATTTTTCATGTGGTCTGCCAGTTTCTTCTCTATCTACGTCCATTCCTGTTTTGTACCACTTACAATTCTAAAGAAGGCGTTTCCCGAATTACTTAACGCTGCTTTCCTCTAAGTGGCTGTATTGTTATTGTTGAGTACGGCTGAGCTGGAATCCTTGAGAGCAATAAAACAGAAGTTAGCTTGCTGTCTTTTGACTGATTCTATCTTTGGCTGTAACTCAAGGCACGATATACACATACAAAGTTGAATTATAAATGACACGACTCACAATGTAACATTTACATGTCGATTACAGACTTTTTTATTAAAATGGTTTAATTTTCTTCCTTACCTTTTCATTACACAGGAATGGATAGGGGCTGAAGCTGAAGACTAAAGAACTTGTTCAGGGGACCGTAGACAGTAGAGTCAAACCTTGCTGCTTTACGTCATCTCTGCGCGCCAAAGCCCTGGGCCAATGGGGTGGCGTGTAACTTTCTCACTGCAGCGCTGGGCAGCCGGGGGACCGCAGACGCCGGGGCTACGCGCGGCGCACCGCCCCTTCCCCGCCTCCCGCTCCCAGCGCGGCTCCCAGGGCACGATGGTGGTGCGCATGCGCAGCATCTCCTCCTCCTCTCTTCTTCCCAAATGGCTCGGTTTCGGTCGGTACCGCCTTGAAGGTGGGACTGATTCTACTCCGTGGCCAATGGTACCCAGGGTGAGGGTTGAGGGGAGGTGTGAAAGGTGCCAGCCGAACCCCAGTGCTGCTTCTCCCAGCGCGTGTGCTGGTGTTTCTGGTCGTCATGGAGGCAGTCCTGATAGAGGAGCTTGATGAAGAGGAGCAGCTAGTGAGAAGGCATCGTAAAGAGAAGAAGGAGTTGCAAGGTGAAGGAGAAGTGGAAACCTAGAAGGTGGCCTGACCTAGGCAAGGGCACGTGGCGGGTTCGTTCTGGGGAAGGGCGAGTGGCTGGATTCTCCTAGGGATCCACAAAACATGTGTCTCCTCTTCATCCTCCTCTACTCGGCTGCCCGTCAGTGTCCAGGCCTTCGGGGCTTCCCTTCCTCAGGCCCACTGCTTACCCGCGCCCTGACCTGAAATGACCCTCCTCACCCTAGACCTTGCTCCCTCTCCCCGGCCTCAAGTTCTTTCCAGCCTCACTTGACCCCAAAGGTGCGTTCCATTTCAGAATAGAGACGTGAAAGGTTTAAAACTTAACTTCAGTTTTCTATTTTCTTTACCCACCAAACGACCAAATTCACAGTTACGTTAATGAGTTTGGAGATTTTCAGATCGTCTCTGTCTAGATCTTTCCTTGTAGCTATCTGATGAGTCTAGTGTAGTGATTTGTTTTCTGAACTACCTTTTGCATGCATGTAACCTCTTAGTTCTTCCTGTGTCTCATTTTCTTTTACTCCTGGCTATCTGATTGGATTTTGATGGTTTTTCAGCTAAGATTCAGGGTATGAAAAATGCAGTTCCTAAGAATGACAAGAAGAGGAGGAAGCAACTCATAGAAGATGTTGCAAAGTTGGAAGCAGAAATGGAGCAGAAGCATAGAGAAGAACTGGATCAATTGAAGCAGACTTCTAAGGAGAATAAGGTATGTGGAAGAGTAGCTTACTGCATTTGAAAACAATCATCCGATATTTTGAAATTGCTTTCTATATATAATTGGTATTGAAATTGAAATCTCTTATACTACTTAAACATGTTTTAGATTAGGTGTACATAGTGTCATGTTTGCGTAGTATTGATTATGCAGACTGTACAAAAGGGACATCATGCTTGGGAAGGTGGAGAGTCAGAAAAGAAAGGAAGATCTTCAACAAGATGAATTGACACAGTGACTGCAGCAAGGGCAGAAGTGTGTCAGGTGGTGATGGCATAGGAAAGGACGAGGTTCAGATTTGTGTTCATAAGGCGCTATTTCTTGTACTTGATGTGATGGTACATAACAACGACTTATTTGCCCAAAAGATGGACTGACTGATAAAATAGTTGGGAAGAATGTAACCAGTGAAAGTCGGAAGGCCCAAATAGCCAAGGAACAGAATTGTAACCCTAGACAGAGCTTAATCTTTCTGAGCACAGATTGCTCCATATATAATGTGATGATACAGAGACCGATGTACACATTCTTAGTAGTATCAAATGGGACAGCAGTAGCAAAATCCATTGTTAAGTTGCAAAAGCACTTTACGAACTACTGTAATGAATTTTACTTTATGTTTCTTGTGTAAGTTGCAGCATCTTTTCATCAATTTACCTAATAATTAACCCATTTTTGTAGCTTGGTATATATTATGTGCTAAGCAAATTAACATTGCGTGCATTATATAATTTCATTATAATTAGCATACTACTGTAAGATCTTTATGAAGTAATTGTTGATCATACTATTGTTCAGATGAGAAAATAGGGTTAGAAAGATTAAGAAATTTGTCTTAAAATCAAACTGTTAAATGCTACCAGAATTAAAAATACAGTATGAATACTTTTGAATTCTGCCCTAGCAGAATTTTTTGCTTACGTTGGTGGTTTATTACTTGAATTTTGATATCAAAAGACTACAGCCTCATACCACATGGGCTTAAAAAAAAACCAAACAAGTCTGTCTTGGAGAAGGTACAGCCAGGGTTCTCCTGAGGGGCAAGGATGGGGAAACTGTCTCGTATGTTGTAGGCAGGTTGGTAGGAGGGACCAGTCCTGGGCAGAAGCCATCATGCTTGGAAAGGTAGAGGAGTCAGCAAAAGAGAAAAAAACCCTTAATATGATGGATTGACGCTGTGGCTTTGACGATGGACTCAAGTACATCGGAGATGATGAGGATGGCACAGGAGAGGGCATGGTACACATCTGTTTGTAGGGTCCATATTGGTCGTGGTTGACGCAATAGCACCTACCAACACGAAGGATGTACAGAATCTTAGCTACTATCATTTTAATTTTTAAATGAATTTTAAATTCTACTTGAGTGAAAAAATTTATAAGTCATACTGGTTTCCCTTATTTTACACATTATTACAGTTGATTAGTGTAATTAATTACAATGATTTTTTTAGGGATCTACCTAGAGGTAAGATTGCTTGATCAAATGATAGTTCTCTTCTCAGCTTTCTAAGGAAGCACCAAAAAAAAGCACTGTTTTACATTCCATCAGAGCTGTATGAGAGCTCCAAACTCTCCATGTTCTTGATAGCATTTGTTGTTTGCCATCTTTTTTTGAATTTTGCTGTTACTGCTGTGGTGAGAAGGTAGCTCATTGTTGTTTTAATATCCTTCGGCTAGCTAAATGATCTTCAGCATTTCTTCATTTGTATATGAATGTCTTAGGTGAAATGTCTTTTCATGTCTTCTGCCCATGTCTTCCGGTTTGTCTTTTTGTTGTTGAAGTGCTGGAATTTTCCATACTTTTTAAAGCTGAGTCCCTTTTCAAATGTGTCACTGTCAAGTGTTTTTCCCCAGCTATAGATTCTTCTTGTTACTCTTTGGAGAAATCTTTTGATGCACAATAGGGATTTAATTTTCAAGAGGTCCCAGTCATCTAGTTTATCCTCTTCTGTTTCTGTGTCATAAAGATTAGAAGACTCATGAATATCCTATATTATGCAGGTAAAAAAACCTTGCTCAGAGAAAGTGAAGAGAACTTGAAACACTTGGAATAGAGGATCAAAGACTATGTCACCTTCAGTATGATTACATATCAATATCAGGGAAACAAAAATCCTCACCAACAGCTGACATGATAGATGGAAAAATGATTGAAGTTGTCAACAATTTGTTTTTACTTGGATCCACAGTCGACACCCATAGATGGTAGCAGTAGTCAGGAAATCAAAAGAGATGCATCATTGGGAAATCTACTGTCAGGGACCTCACCAAAGTTAAAGAGCAAAGGATGTTATTTACTATGTTGCCGCAAATGACGGCAAATGTGTTTGTAAGCACGGTCATCAATTTAAAAAGTGTGCGGCAATGTGTTAAGGACTTAATGTGCACCTGATGCATGCCATAGCATTTTCAGTTGCTTCCTATGCATCTGAAAATTAGATAGTGAATAAGGATGATAGGAGAAATGTTGCTTCCTGTGCATCTGGACAGGATGGACAGTGAATAAGGAAGATAGAACAATCAATACCTTTGACTTGTGGTGTTGGAGAAGAGCACTGAATCGCCTGTGGACTATGAAAAGAACAAATAAGTCTGGGTGGTCCATAGTGGCAAGGATGGTGAAATTTTGTCTCCACCTTTCAGGCCTGTTGTCAGGAGAGACATGTTGGGAATGGTGAGGGGTCGGAGGAGTGCGAGCTTTAACAGGATGGATTGACATAGTGACTGTAGCAGTGGGCGTGATCACATCAGAGATGGTATGGATGGCACAGAATAGAACAGGGTTCTGATTTGTTTTTCTTAGGGTTGCTGTGAGTGGTAGTGGACTTGACAGTACCTAACAACATTTATTCCATAGATTAGGGCTCTGAAGTTTGCCAGGGTTTTTCTTGGATGATCATGATGGTTTTGGGTTTTATGCTAAATTTTTTAATATCTTGAGTTAGTGTAGAATACGCTTTGAGATGTCTTATTTCAACTTTCTGCAAAGAGTTAACTAGTTTTGCCAGCACTTCAGTTTACCACTTAGAGATTTTATCTCTTTCTCAGATATTTGCAGTATATAAGTAGGTAGATTTATTTCTGGTTTTGCAGTTTGATTCCATTTGTCTGTGTACCCGTCATTGTACCAATACCAAGCTGGTTTGATTACACTGTGTGTAGTAAGTTTGAGATCACAATGTCTAGTCCTTTGTTTGGTTTATCTTCAGTAGCCCTTTGCTTATGAGTTCTCTTTCTTTTCCTTATAAAGTTGATAATTACCTTTTCCCATGTCATTGAAGAATGATGTTGAGAGCTGCATTGGCATTGCATTTTATGGCTTTTAGTACTATTGCCATTTTTGCGATGTTAAGTCGTCTGATTCATAAGCATGTTTTATTTATCCATTCATGTTGGTCTCTCGGGATTTCTCATAGTACTGTTTTCTTTGTACTTCTATGTCTGATTCTGTTTATTCCTAGACATTTTATCTTTAGGATTACTATTGTAAGTAGTTACAGTTTTTCTTTGTTACTATAGAGGAAGCCAAATAAACTTGGATGTTCATCTTGTACTCTTTCTTTTTGCTTAATTGGTCACTTAGATCCAGTAATTTTCTTGCTGCATCTTTGGGATACTGTCATTAAATTTTATTTGTTTGCTTTGTTATTCATTCATTGTTGGTACTGATTTACAATGGTCTCTACAAAGATCATAGTCTCCATTCGTTTATTTGCTAGTCATAAAGATCCTGGCCTTCCCAGCCCATAGTATATTTTTATCTCTAGGCAACTTGTCATGGCTCTCTAGGTGTTTGTGTTGTCACAATCAGGGCACTGCTAATTGTCTCTTTATCTCCTCTGTAAGAGATAGTTTTGTATGCTCTCTGACTAGAGAGTTCCTTCCCCATCCTGGATTCTGAGGACACACTTGATTGATTCTTAATCTACATGTTTCTTGGTTCTTAAAATATAAACTCATGCTCTACTTTGAACTCATACTTTTCCATTAACTTAAATATTCTCATGTCATTGATTCCTTTGTGGTTTACTATTTAGATACCTCGTGTATTTTGCGTGTAGTCAGTATGTTGTTGGTACTGTCTAGTTGAAACCAACCCATGTCTAACCCTCCAGCAGGTTTTCAGAGACAGTAAATCACATGTGAGGAAATTGCCCATCTTTTCTCCAGCAGCTAGTGAATTTGAACCATGTACCTTTGCATGGATAGCACAATTCATTACCACTAAGCCATCTAGCAGTTTATAAATTTAGCACAGTCCTTAGAATAGTCACATGAATCCCATTTTCACGGAAGTTACTACTCTTTGAAATCCCAATCTGATTTTCAGTTTTTGATGATTAGGACACAACGTTGAAGATTTCTGACTTTGTTGTGTTAAAAAGTTTTATATATGTATCATGCTAAGGTGAACTTTATACCAGCTGATGTAGTAATTAAAGTCTTCCTATTAGTCTTTTGTCACTGATTCTTTTTTGGTCACTACTTTCCATCTGGTATCTTCTGCTTTCTTACTTGACCAATACATACTCTTTTTGATATTGAGATCTGTTATAATTACTAATGGAATTACAAATGAAATATGCTTTTAGCCTGTAGTTACTAGCTTGTAGAAAGGAAAGGATAGGAAAAAAATTGAATTTTCTAGAGTTAAAGATCAGTGTTCATCAGTTTTTAGCTAAATAGAATGGAGAAAGTTTTATTTATGTTGCTAATTTGAGCTTATGAATGTAGTAATGAACTGAGCCAGCACTAAGGCTTTATTCAGGACAGGGTAGTTGTTGTGTGCTGTTAAGTTGGAACTCACCCATAGATGACCTTCCAGTGGGTTTTCAAAGGCAATAAATTACACAGGAGAAGATTGTCTGTCTTCTTGTAGAGAAGCTGATGGATTTGAACTGTATACCTTTGCATTGGCAATGCAGCTCCTTACGACTGAATCACCAGATCTCCCTAGAAGAGGCAGGAGTGTGATGCAGATATATCTTATGCGCTAAGTGCTTCAACCTTTTTACTGAGTTAATTATGATAGCAGTAGAGTATAAACTACTTTAAAAAAAAAAAAGAGAAACACAGTGACTGCAGAACTGGGCTCAAGTATGTTAGAAAAGATGAGAATGACACAGAATAGGACAGAGTTCACATCTTTTGTTGATAGGGTCACTATGCATCATATTCAATTTGACAGCACCGAACAACAGATGTAGATAATCTTATTTTCAAATGAGGAAGTAGGTTTAGAGCTTTATTATTTTTCCCAAAGTCAAAATAAAAATTCAGTATTAGAGCTGTCTTACACAAGGTTGTGAACATTGAATTCTGGTTTTATAAGAATGAACAGGAAATAACAGGATTTAGATTAATGGCTTGGGCAAGGAAAGAAAGCAGGAGCTGCCTTGAAATCTCAGAATTCTCACTGGAAAATAGAGAATGAAACTGTTATCTCGTGTAATGTCTAGTACTGTTACTCAGATTTTAAGTTATGACTTACACATTGTTTTTAATTCACAGTTTAGTATTGTTAATGTTAATATTTTTTCATTAACTTGTTATTTTTTGTTTGTTTTCTTCAGATAGATTCTGTTGCTGTTAACATTTCAGACTTGGTTCTTGAGAATCAGCAGCCTCGGATTTCAAAAGCACAGAGGAGACGGGTATGAATGTCACGTCACTGAATACTTGAAGTTAGTGGCGTGTGCTCAGTATTGATTTAACTATTTTAGGCTGTGTGGTAAAGGAAATGGAAGAACATGATGGGGTTCATCGAGCAACTCTGTTGTGTCATATAGAAGCTCTAGTGGATAGTGCAGTACGTGTTATGCCACTAACTGAAAGGGCAGCAGTTCCAATCTGCCAGTGGCTCTGTGGGAGAGAGAGGAGCATGCTTGTACCTTAGATTTATAGCCTCCAAAACCTGCTGGCCGGTTGCTATGAGTTGAAATTGACTTGATGGCAGTGTGACTTGAAGGCAAGGCTGCTCACATGAAATCTCAGCCCTGATAATAATTCTGTGGAGTAGTGTCTCTTACCTCTGTGGTTTTTGGAGTTTGTTGTTTGGTTGTTTTTTTTTAATGTTGTTAATTGCCATTGAGTCAAGCACATCTCATAGTGACCCTATGGAAAAAGGCCTGCAGCCTTTCTATAACTATCATCACTTATCAAAGTTCATAGTTTCTGGAGGCATGTTGTTTAGAAAGTGGATGCCACTCTGAACCAATTTTTTTAATGTTGATTTAGGCCTTTTTTAAATGAAATAGGCCTAAATCATTCAAACAACACATCTGGTTTTCAATTAGAATTGTAGAGTTAAACTGAGGAGAGAAGATGTTCAGAGGATGTGTTTTACAAGTGCATTTCCCTGTGTTTCTCCCACTGGGAAAACCCTGTGGAGATTGCTTCTCTGTAACACATGGGTTCACCAGGAGTGGATTTGACTGGATAGTGGTAGATTTGGTTTTTTGTTTTAATTCCAGATTAACATTGAAATACTTAGTGTGTAGAATTTTATTCAGAACCACGTGAGAACTATAGTATCATGTGATACAATATAAATTTGTAACTAAAACTTACAGAACCGTGTTTCTTCTTACTTGTGTGAATTAAATGTTGATTTGGAAAGCAAGGTTTATAGATGTACACATTTCTGTCAAGAATTACATAGATTTATATAGGAGGCTGGGCTCTATGAGGTGGAATGTGGCATCACGACTGGTGGAAGAGGCATCAACAACCTGCGTTATGCAGATTACACAACCTTGCTTGCTGAAACCGAGGAGGACCTGAAGCACTTGCTGCACAAGGTCAAGGACTACAGTCTCCAATGCAGATTGAAGCTCAACATCAAGAAAACAAAGATTCTTACCACTGGGCCTATAGGCAGCATCATGATAGATGGTGAAGAGATTGAGATTGTTAACAGCTTTAGTTTGCTGACTACACATTCAACATTCTTGGTACCAGCAACCAGGAAATCAAAAGACAAATTGCACTGGGGAAAAATCTGCTGTCAGGGACATCTCCAGAGTACTAAAGAGCAGTGATATCAGTCTGCAGACTAAGGTGTACCGGATCCAGGCCATGGTCTTCATAATTACTTGCAGTGCGTCAGAAAGCTGGACGATGGCTAGGGATGATAGAAACAGAATTGATAGCTTTGAGCTGTGGTGCTGGAGAAGAGTATTGAATGCTCTGAATATTAGATGATTAATTAATCTGGTAACTCAGAGAAAGTTATACTTTATACTAAATGTTAACTGATAGGTTAGAATTTGAAGGAAGTATAGCCATTTAGAGGGAGCTCTGGAGGCCTGTTGATAAAGCTGCGCTGCCACCACTAGTCATATTTTTTTCTTGGTGGTAAGAAGCTCGTAGTGCTATGGTGTTTAGATGCTTGCCAGAAGATTAGAGGTTTGAATCCGCCAGCCCTCCACAGGAGGAAGACGGAGCTGTCTGTTTCTGGGAAGATTTACAGCATTGGAACCTCAGTAGGTCAGTTCTACACTTATCTTGCAGGGTCACTAGAAGTTAACTAAATGGCATTGGATTGGTTTAGATTTTAATTATTTTAATAGATGGACCATGTATGAGAAACAACATGCACAGATTCAAAGAATGAAATATTGTCATGAAGCTATAAGCTAAATTTATTGGAAGTAGTTTTTTGTACCAAAATGGAGGGAATGAGCTTTTTGGGGGGAAAAATTTATAGTTAATCTTTGTTAGTATCCTAATTATTTTACTAGTATGTTGTTGTTGTTGTTGTTTTGTGCCTTCGAGTCATCTGAGCAGGTCTCACTGACTCCTACATTCCTAATCCCATTACCCTAGTCACCGAGTCAATCCATCTCATCCGGGTCTTCCACTCCTGCTCTGTTCCTCCACCCTTCCAAGGATGATGTCCTTCTCCCAAGGACTGGTCCCACCTGGCCATGTACCCAAAGTATGTGAACTAGAACTTTAAAATCCTTTCCTCCAAGGAGAAGCTTGGTTTCACCCTCTAGAAGACTGGCCTATTTGTTCTTCTGGCTATCTATGGTATGTTCAAGACTTTTCCAGCACCACTGCTCAAAGCAATCAATAATTCTTCAGCCATCCTTACTCATTATTCATCGTTCTGATGCATAGCATGCAATTGTAAGACTCATAGTGTCTAAAAGTTTAATAGGTATGTTTTCTTAAGCTGGTTTTGCTTGTAATGTTAGTATTAAGTAGTTTGGCAGGGAGAAACCCTTGGGTAACACAGGTGGCTTTTGCTCTATTATTAACATAAAACTTGGGGGTTAGAATTTACTGAGCGACACCAGCAAGAAAGGCTTGGCACTGTCTGCTTCCTAAAGGATTACAGCCAAGGAAACCCTCAGGGCTCAGGTCTCATGTAAAATGTGTGACTGCTGTGGACAGACAATCACTTAATGTATAGCATCACATTTGGAGCCAGGCAGATGTGGATTGTAATCTTGTTTGCTGTTAGAAATTAGAAACCTTGAAACCTCAATTTTATGACTTTAAAATGCCAAGAATTAATACTTGTTTCATAGACTATTCAATATTATGTATTAATAGTGTTTCTAAAGCCCATATCTGAAGCTTGGAGAGTTGATGGTTCAACAGAGGATAAATAGTATGATTTACAGTGTTAAGTACAGCGTAGTATGTTGTTGTTAACACCCTTGGTACAAGCAGTCTAGAAGTATGGAGATACATTGCACTGGGAAAATCTGCAGTTAGGGACCTTTCCAAATTATTGAGGAGTAGTGATGTCAGTTTGAGGTAAGGTGCATCTGATTCAGGCCATGGTATTTTTGATTACTAGCTATGCATCCGAGACCTGGCAGTTAATAAGGATGACAGAAAAACAGTTGACGCCTTTGAGCTGTGGTGTTAGAGAAGAGCACTGAACATTCCATGGATGGCCAAGAGAACTGACAGATATATCTTGGAGAGGGTGCAGCTGGAATGCTCTTCAGAGGCAAGAATGATAAGGCTTTGCCTTGCATACTTTGGACATGTTGCTAGGAGGTGCTATTCTTTGGAGAAGGACATAATGGTGGAAAGGGTGACGGGTCAATGAAGGAGAGGAAGATTCTCAAACAGGTGAATTGACACAGTGACTGCTGCAATGGGCTCTTGTATGTCAGAAAGTGTGAGGATGTTGTAGGGCAGGACTGAGTTCAGATCTTTTGTTAATAGGGTTGCTATAAGTCTTACTAAACTCGATGGCACCTAACAACAACAAAAGTATGTTGTTAGGTGCCGCAGAGTCACCTGCAACTGTAGCAACCCTATGTACAGCAACTCTGAAGTCTGCCCTGTCTTGAGCCAATCTCACTGTTTCTGACACACCTAACCCTCTTTCCTGTAGTACGTTGTTGTTGTTGTTATGTGCCGTCGAGTCGCTTAAGACTCATAGTACATAGGCTTCTTAAAAACATCAACCTAAGAGCATTCACTTTGTCTTTCTTACTTTGAACATGTTGCTAAGTAAGACTATTCCTTGGAAAGGGACATCATGCTTGGAAAGATGGAAACGGGTCAGCAAAAGAGAGGAAGACTCCCAGTGAGATGGAGTAACATGGTGACTTGAGCAGTGTGTGAAGAAATGACATGTGCTCTCGTGTATCAGAAATGATGACGACGGCACAGGAGGAGGTCAACTGAGGATGGGATCACTGAGCATACCCAACACAGTGGCACCGAACTGCAACAGAGCAATGCAGTTTTGTTTGGAGGTTAAGTTATAAATCATCAGGCCTTTGTCATAGGTATATAAAATTGTATTGAGTAAATACTGATTGTGCGTTTCATGGACTCAAGAAGTTTCTGTTTGAAGAGACTTAGGAGGTTAGCTGGTTGAACTCCTTATCAGTTTGTAATATTGCATTCTCTTTGCGACAGTCTCACACAATTTGCCATCTAATTTCTATAGTGTGAAAGTGAAGGCAAGAACGTTTTAGATAGTAGTAGTTTAACACATTTGCTTGAATTTGAAGTAGAAGCTTGAATTCACCTTTTCTTATGACTTGATGCAATGGCGATGGATTTTATAGTGGCTTATTTATGGTGCAAGATAGGGCAAGGTTTCTATCTACTGTTCCTAGGGTTGCTGTGAATTAATAGTTGTTTAGAAGGTACCTAACTAATTCTGGAGAACACTCAAAGGCACATTTCCATCCTGTCTTTATCAACATTTGCTCATTCCCATCTGAACCCTTAGGCAACAAAGTAATAACTTCCCTATCTTTCTTAACATTAGTTATAATATCCCTAGTACCTAGGCAGTCGTCTGAACAGAGCAAGGAGACACTACATGGTTCAAAATCAAGAAGGGAGTCCATCAGGGATGTATTTTGTCTCCATACCTTTTCAGTCTGTATGTAGAACAGATCATCCGAGACTCTGGGCTGTACGAGGAGGAATGTGGCATCAGGATTGGTGGAAGATACATCAACTTGTGTTATGTAGATGATACGACCCTTCTTGTCGAAAGTGAGAAGGACCTGGGCATGTTGCAAGGAGGGACCAGCCCTTGGAGACGCACATCATGTTTGGGAGGGTGGAGGTACAGCACAAGAGAGGAAGACCCTCAATGAAATGGATCAATTCAGTGATTGGGGTAATGGGAGTAGGTATGTCAGAGACAGGTTGGCACAGGATA